TGTTCAATAATCCTGAGTGTAGATGGGTGCCTTAGCTTCCCCGATATGAGTTCTGCTGTATACAGTATAGCCCCATTCTTGATTGCAATGTGCACGAAGTCTGGTGCAGAAGCGCCTGTGTGAACTTTATTTTTGTCGTCCTCCACTAAAAGATCGCAGCTTATTTAATGTAAGGATTGCTTTGGAAGTACTCCATACTGTCAATTTGGGCCTCAGTTCCTACTGATTAGCTTCCGGCAGATCCAAGTGGTTGCTCTTGCCTTTTGAATTTATTTATCTAGGTACTAATTCTTATTCATCAACGATAACCCTCAAATGTTTGACTTCTTTAGAGAAGTGTATCTTTTCTCCTTGAGGAAATTCTTCTACTTAGCACTATTTCCATTCTTTTACATATAAATATAACCTCAAAGCTCGATTTTAAATTTTTTATTTTTTTTTTATCATTTTATTTTTTGTACAGTCTGCAAGACTTATAATAACAAAGATTTAACATTCATAAAATTAGATCAAATATTTAATATGATATGGTCTTCGGAAATTTTTTTAAATATTAGGGCAATTCATATAAACGCGTAAATGCTTCGTTACCATGTAAAGTTCGTAAACTTACTTAATTTTGTATGAAAAATCGGTTTAATTACGAGGTTTACTCGGTTACGAGACATTTACGCATTTCCATGAATACCCATATTATTTTTTATCACTGCAATTATTTTATACCAATGCAAAAGCATACCATTGGCCGGAGGTTGTGTAGGCGGTTGGAAAGGTCAATCCGCGCTATACTTTTTGGGTTTCTCTGTATCTTGATATCTCCTGGAAGGTCGAAAAGGCCGAGTTTCCGATCCTCCAGTCGCGCTTATCACCCCGTGTTATTCTCATACTTCAAGGAAAAGTTAAGTTTCTTCTGTGTGCCACCGTGTATTTTCTTTAACTGCATCTACAAACCAGGCTATACTTAGTAAATTTTTTATATAAAATACTTCCAGATAGTTGCTTCTCCATACTCAAATGCAATGTAGTTAAAATATATTAAGGAACATCATAAAAGTAGGAATACTTTGGGATTTTTAACTTTTTGATATTTTCTTCCCCAACTTTGACTATCTCTGGTGAAAAAAAAATGTACTGAGCTATATCTTTACATTACATAAAAAAATTTATCATTTAATAAAAATTTCAAGGTGCCACTCTTACTGTGTCGAGTAGAAAAAAAGTTATAGCAGCTTTTGTGGGCAAAAGACTGAGACACGCTAGAATGTATTTAATAGATTTAAGTCCCTATTACGGTTTACAACTCGACTCAGTTGAATTGAAATTGAAACACCTCAACTTTAAAACAACTTAACTCTTTTTTGGCATTACGAATTACAACTCACTTCAGTTGAAGTTCTATTGATGTTGCCAACCTAAAACAGTGACAATTTGACAGATAATTAAACAGATGATGAGTTTGTGGAGAAAAATGAAAACAATATACTTTACTCAATGTTCACGACAGTGTTTTTTTTTAATAAAAAGTAAAATGGACATAAGCGTTGATTTATTTTACAACGATGAAAATGTTGGTCCCAAAACTGATGTGCTGCGTATACGAAAAAGGCTTCGTGATCACTCGAATCCTTTGGAACTTCCAAGAACCAAGTAAGAAAAATTGTAGCGAAAATTGAATGGCATTTTAATAATGTATTTTTTTTGCAGATTCATAAGCTACTTTCGTTTAAATAAGGAAGCATTTGCCTTTTTGCTAAACGAGATGGAGGAACACTTCCAGAAACGTGTGCGAGGAACGGCTGTACCTCCCATATTGAAATTATGTGCAACTCTCAGGTTCCTTGCTGACGGCAGTTATCAAAAGTGCAGTGGAAATGATTTTAATGTTGGACTGGCGCAACCTACAATATCTGTAGTTATTAAGGAGGTTTTAAATATAATTGAGCAGCATATTTGTGGAAAATGGATTACAACCCAAATGACTGAAGAGGAGCAAAAGCGTCAAAAATTGCATTCTATTCAAATAGCGGATTCCCCCAAGTAGTGGATTGTATCGATGGGACTCACGTTGGCATCATTTCACCAAAAAAAAAGAAATGCAACATCTTTATCTAAACAGGAAAGGCTACTACTGTTTAGACGTCATGATTGTAAGTGAAAATGTAAAAAGCAAATAATACTTTAAAAGAAAATGGTAATGACATCTATTTCGATTTTAAGCTTTGCGATTACAAAATGGCTATCCGGTATGTGGATGCTAGGCACGTGGGCGCAAATCACGATACCTTTGTTTTTAACGTAAGTGATTTGAAAGAG